ATTTTACTTTGACAATGTTGAACCGGTCAATCACAACTTTGTTTGAGCTCCTTGAACCTGGATCTCGGAATATCCAAAATTCTAGGTAGAGTTACCGCCATGATGACTTGTCCTCGGCCATAGTCTCATTCCCTTAGATGATTTTTCAACTCCCTCTCTAGTTAGGCCTTTTGTAAGCGGATCCGCCTCATTATCCATTGATCTTACATAATCAATAGTGATAATTTCACTAGAAAGTAGTTATCTAACGGTGTTATGTCTTCGTCGTATATGACGAGACTTTCCGTTATACATAACACTCCCTGCCCGTCCTATTGTAGCCTCACTATCGCAATGTATGCATATAGGAGCCAAAGGTTTTGGCCAGAACGGAATGTCTTCTAAGAAATTTCGAAGCCATTCAGCTTCTTCACCGGCTTTATCCAAAGCTATAAACTCTGATTCCATTGTAGAGAGAGCGATGTACGTCTGTTTGGAAGACTTCCAAGATACTGCTCTTCCACCAGCAGTAAAAACATATTCACTTATGGACTTTGTTTCTGTTAATCCGGTTATCCAATTTGCATCACTATATCCTTCGATAACCGTAGGATATTTATTGTAGTGCAAAGCGTAGTCTTAGGTATATTCCAAATATCCCAGAACTCGTTGCATTGCCACCCAGTGATGTTTGTTGGGATTACTTGTGAATCGACTAAGTTTACTTATTGCACAAGCTATATCAGGACGTGTACAGTTCATGATATACATTAAGCTTCCCAACACACGAGCATACTCCAATTGAGACGTGCTTTCACCTTTATTCTTTATAAGATGATGGTTTAAGTCAATTGGAGTTCTTGCACTTCTAAATTCCAAGTGTTTGAATTTTTCAAGTACCATTTTCACGTAATGGGATTGAGACAAAGCTAGACCCTGAGGAGTCCTCTGGATTTTAATTCCTAGAATTAGATCGGCAACTCCTAAGTCTTTCATATCAAACTTACTAGCAAGCATACGCTTAGTAGCTTGAATGTCGGCAATGTCTTTGCTCATTATTAGCATATCATCAACATATAAGCAAACAATGACTATATGATTTGGAACATTCTTAATGTAAACACATTTATCACATTCATTAATCTTAAAGCCATTTGACAACATTGTTTGGTCAAATTTCGCATGCCATTGCTTGGGTGCTTGTTTTAGTCCATAAAGGGACTTAACAAGTCGACACACCTTCTTTTCTTTTCCCGAAATCACAAACCCTTCAGGTTGGTTCATGTAAATTTCTTCCTCTAGATCACCATTTAAGAAGGCTGTTTTTACATCCATTTGATGGATTTGAAGACCATACAAGGCGGCTAACGCTATTAACATCCGAATGGATGTAATTCTTGTTACCAGCGAGTATGTGTCAAAATAGTCAAGACCTTCTCGCTGTCTAAATCCTTTGACAACAAGTCTTGCCTTGTATTTGTCAATAGTACCATCGTCTTTCATTTTCTTCTTGAAAATCCATTTAGAACCCAATGTTTTGTTACCTGGAGGAAGATCAACCAATTTCCAGGTATGGTTGCTCAATATGGATTCTATTTCACTATTGACAGCTTCTTTCCAATATTGTGCTTCTGAGGAATACATTGCTTCCTTGAAGGTTCGAGGCTCATTTTCTAGCAGGAAAGTCAGAAAATCTGGACCGAATGAAGTAGATGTCCGTTGACGTTCACTTCTTCTCGGATTTTCCTCATTAGGCATACCATATGTTATTTCCTCCCGAGGTCGTTTTGACTTTTGGTACGTCAATTCACTTTTCTTTTTATACGGATAAATAGTTTCAAAGAATTCAGCATTATCTGATTCTATTATCGTATTAACGTGAATCTCAGGATATTCTGATTTATGAACTAGAAAACGATATGCCTTGGTTACATATCCAATAAATACACAATCAACCATTTTTGGACCTATCTTAACCCTTTTAGGTTTAGGAACTTGTACCTTAGCTAAACACCCCCACACTTTGAAGCACTTCAAGCTAGGCTTCCTTCCTTTCCATTTTTCATAAGGAATTGACTGTGTTTTACTATGAGGTACACGGTTGATTATTCGGTTAGCTGTAAGTATAGCTTCCCCCCCATAAGTTCTGTGGTAAACCAGAACTTATCAACAATGCATTCATCATCTCTTTCAACGTTCGATTCTTTCTTTCTGCAATTCCATTAGATTGTGGAGAGTAAGGGGCAGTTGTTTGGTGAATAATGCCATTTTCCAAACATATTTCTTCACAAGGAGATTCATATTCTCCACCCTTATCACTTCTTATCATTTTGATCTTTTTGTTTAGTTGTGTTTCAACTTCACTTTTGTATTGCTTGAAAGCATCGATTGCTTCATCTTTACTACTAAGTAAGTAAACATAGCAATATCTCGTACTATCGTCAATAAAAGTAATAAAATACTTTTTCCCACCGCGAGATGGTGTTGACTTCATGTCGCAAATATCTGTGTGAATTAAGTCTAAAGGACTTGAATTCCTTTCTACGGACTTATAAGGATGCTTAGCATACTTTGATTCCACGCATATTTGACATTTGGAATTAGTGCAATCAAATTTTGGTAATACTTCCAAGTTTATCATTTTTCGCAATGTTTTGAAGTTAATGTGACCTAGGCGTGCATGCCATAAAGTGTTTGACTCAAGTAAGTAAGAAGAAGCATTAACTTTATTGATAGGAACTGCTATTACATTTAGCTTAAAAAGGCCCTCATTCAGGTAACATTTTCCTACATACACATCATTCTTACTTAGTACAACACTATTAGAATCAAAAATACATTTGAATCCATTCTTGACAAGAAGTGAGGTAGACACAAGATTCTTGCGAATTTCTGGAACATGGAGAACTTGGTTTAGAGTCACAATTTTTCCCGACGTCATCTTCAACGCAATCTTGCCAAATCCTTCAATTGGCTGTAGACGAATTTCCCATAAAAATTGTCTCGTCGGGTCCTGCAGGGGCATAGGAAGAAAATAACTCCTTGTTAGCACAAACAACTCAAAATATAGTTTTTGCACAAGAAATTAGAATGTTTCCATGCTTCAGTTACAATAAATCGTTCGTCATCCTAAGTGCCTTCAGCCACGACCGGAGGATCCTCCTTGATGAATCGCTGCAAACTCAACGTAGTAAGATAGAAAAGCATCTTCGTTTGCCAACGTTTGAAGTCAATACGGAAAACTTTTCGGGTTTTTCTACTGGTGCCATAGCATGAGCAGGAGTTGAACGGCTCGACGAGGCAGCAACACTCGTAACAGTAGCACCCGTTCCATTAGCATTAGTTTGGTCCTCATTTACCATTTTTCTGTAAAGTTGGCAACAAACAGAACTTTGCAAATCAGTGAAGTTTTGATATCTTTAAACTGAATACCAAACCAAACATACAACACGTAACAATGGTGAAGTTTTTATACACTTCAACCCGTACGTTTATTATTCCGGTAAAGTTTGATATACTTTAAACCGGACATAACAATTATTGGGGTAGAAAGCACGAAGGCTTTAGTCTCCAAACCAATATACAAAATATAGATAACAGTTTAATATATATTTCAACGCAGAAACATTAGTAAAATTCCTTAAGCTTGTAGTCTACACTGTGTTGAAACAAAAATAATAAAACTATTAGAAGAAACAAAAAATTTGTAAATGATAAGAAATATTCCGAGTTCACAATTTCCTTGTGTGTCCTTAAGGAATTTTAACCCCCTCACAAGTTGCCAAGGTAATGGATTAAATCCTCCCAGGATGAAACTGAATAAACCTTCCTGCAACAGTGGCAATACAAACTGCAGGATACCAACGAACTCAAAGAACGGAGCAAAATCACACTTACGAATTTGAGAGAGAGAAACTGCGAAGTAGAATGCAGTATTCAGAACGAAATTCCTGTTCAGGAAAAAATGTCTGTTCAGGAGGGAAAGCAACGTTCAGCAAAGCCGAAGCCGAAGCCGAACCCGACGCCGACGCCGAGCGAGCGACGACGACGGCGCGAGGGTTCATTCTCTTCAACTCCTTTTAAGAGCTCTAAGAAATGATCCTATATTTTTACACACAAGTGTAGTTGTCTTTCACCAATGTGGTACAAAGTTCATGACAAAAGCTCACTTGATTCAAATTTTTATTTCCCTTCATTTTATTTCCCACCATTTCCCAATTCACACTCTTATTCTTTAAAGCTCAATGCTTAAAGTCCAACAATTTATACATTTTTTTGGCCACGTTCGAATATAAATAGTTTCTAGCGCAGATAAAAGTGATAATATCCCGAAACATTTTGTGGTGTCATATGATACCAATTTGTGAAAAAAAAATCACTAAACTTTTATATATATATATATCTATATATTATTATATATATATATATAAATATATATATAGATATATATTATATAATATATATATATATATATCAGGAACGGAGTTAAAGAAGATAAAAGAAAGTTCAATTGGATCCCCTTAGCCGGAAAATTTTATAACAATTGGGCAAAAAGAAACTCTTTTGGATTTATATGAAATATTAAATCTCTTGATATATAAGAGAATATCTAAATTCAGTATTACAAGAGAATATAAGAAAAATAAGGTATGTTTAGAACTTTGTATGTCTAAATTGAGTATTTTTAGTTGTTTATATGTTAGTACGACAGTAAATATAAGATTTGACAGTTCTAACTATTTTTTTTCGAGATACAGTTCTAATTTAGAAATTCAGTTTTTAAAACAAATTAATACTATCCAATAAATGGAATCAAAATAGTGGATACTCATTAAATCATTTTGTTAGGGATTGAGATCTAATTTATTGATCTTGACAATCAATATCAATATATTTTATTATTATATGAAAGTCCAATGACGAACGTGTTCACCTAATATCCCGCCACGTGTCACTTTCTGCTCGTGTCACGTGTCAAACCGTGTCCTTATATCTGTATGCAATGTTCACACACGGTTTTTAAGTTTAAGATATTTGACCTTAGAAAGCATCTTCTGAAAAATCTATAAATTCATATACGCTAATGCTTTATTCTGCAACTCGTGTTCTCATACCAAGAAAAAATCTCAGTTTCCTTAGGCAATTTTCTTCGATTCTAAAGCCAACCCATTTCAATTTCGTATCTATTAAGCCGATCCAAACAGTTCTTTCCAATTCTATTGTTTCCGCTAAGAGATTTGAGTTGTTTTGTTTAAGATCAGATTATAGTACCATGGCCAGCCAATCTAGCAAGCCTCAATCTATTTACGACTTCACTGTCAAGGTCAGCACTTTTACTTTGTTATATTTTTGGGGTTTTCCCTAATTTTGTTTTAATAAATAGAAATCTTGTTTCTGTTTGTTTTATTAGTCTCTGAATTAGAAAAATTGAGTTATGTGGCGTCATTTTCTCGGGTTGTAAGTAATCGGACATTTTTTGTACAGAAATGAATTATCGCCATAAGAAAAATATGAGAAAGATTATTCATTTTGTTTCTTTTGTGTAAAGGTTGTTCATTTTTTGTTTTCATTTATGCTTTTGTTTAATTTTTTGGTCTATGAGTTAGGTAGGGGTTTTGAGTTCTGAGGCATAGTTCAACTTTTTTCGTTTATGAGTTTGATGTAAAGAGAGAGTCTTTGTTGTATAGGTAGTTGGGATAACTTGTTAAATGAATAAGGTTGAGAACCTTTAAACCTTGTTTGTGCCAAAGGAAAAAAGATAATGGTCAGAGCATAACTTACTATGTGTGGGTTAGGCGCACGTCACAAGTTGAATCAATGGAGAGGATCCATTGAATTTCGAACCGTGAGCATTAAGAACTAACCCTCGAGGATTTTTCGGTCATCAAAGAAAAGGATAAGTAGAAGGTGTAGATTTAGAAGGGAGCCTTGGCGTAACTGATAAAGTTGTTGTCCTGTGAGCTCCCCAGGAGCTCACGGGTTCGAGCTGTGGAAAAGCCTCTTGCATTAGGTTAAGGTTGCGTACAATGGACCCCTGTTGCGTACAATACAATGGACCCCTGTGGTCCGGTCCTTCCCCGGACTCCGGACCCTACACACAGAAGGAGCTTAGTGCACGGGGCGACCCTTTTAGAAGGTGTAGACTTGTGGTATATGGTATCCATTTAGGGCTAGCAGCAAACTAAGGCCTGTTGAACTTGGGGTTCGTTTTTGTATCTTTATAGTTAAAAAAATGGTTTTTGTTTTAAGTGTTTTTTCGTTTATATAACACTAAGGCTGAGAGTATTTTTTTCTTAGGATAATACAGTTTAAGGTGTAATCTTGATAAGATTTCGTGTTGCTGAACTTCGTTTGAATTTTACAGGATGCTAAGGGTAATGATGTTGATCTCAGCATTTACAAGGGAAAGGTCCTTATTATTGTCAATGTTGCATCACAGTGGTATGTATTAGCTTCATATTTTTCCTGTTCATTATATGTCTGAGACCTCTTTCTATGGTTTTGTTTGCTCCTTGTAATTGTAAGGATCCCACGTGTTGGTTTCCATAGAATTGACTGAAAGTATCCCGAGCAGATGTCCAAGTTGGAATTGGTCTTTATTCGATCAAGTGAAAGAATGCATACCTATTATTTAACTTCTACTTATTTGTAAATGTGTTTTGATATGCTCAGAATTCTGATGGTATATGAGTGCCATTCTGTTGATCTAGCGCATTTTGTGGATTTGTAATCTGTTATGTTTCCATGTCTTCTGTCATATCAACTTAGCGTGGTCTGGTTTTTCAGAGTTCAATTGAACTTCAACTCAGCCTTTTCTCAGACGTCTGCTCTGAGAAATTAAACTAAAAGCTTATCATCCTAGGTGATCTTATCGGATAAGGCATTCCTTTCCCCATGCTGAAAATATTATGTATGTGGCAACTGTAAAAACTGATTGGTAAAACGTGGTGATGGAACATTTCTAGACCGGATATGAGTATCTGACGTTGATCTACTGTATTTTGAGAGGGTTATTGATCGACTTTCTGATGGGAGACTTACACATTCCTACTTTGCTTGGTTTAAAGAAATCTGATAAGTACTAGAGTATTTTTATAACAAATAACAAGTTGATGTGCAGCTTCAGATAAAATGTTCTGTTAATTTCTTCGTAGTTCAGTCTTATGGTGAAGTCTACAGTGACTAGTTGGAAAGAGTATTCACTATAGTTATGATATCGTTCTGTTATGATGTTTAAGGTATGCTGACAAGCATGAATTGATTTCATCTTCTGATGCAGTGGCCTGACAAATTCGAACTATACTGACATGACCGAGATATACAAGAAGTACAAGGATCAAGGTTTGTTTTCAGTTCTCCTAAATATGATGCTGATCGAATGAACTAATGTCAGAAAACATTCCTCTTGATTTAAGCAATGGAGGCACTTATGCTATGTCAAATTCACGTTGCAAAGAAAACTTAATAAATACTTACGCTATGTCAAATTCAGTTTGCTGATATATCCTCCCTTGTTACATAGGTCTGGAGATACTTGCATTCCCTTGCAACCAGTTCGGTGGGCAGGAGCCTGGAAGCATTGAAGAGATCCAGAACATGGTTTGTACTCGCTTCAAGGCCGAGTACCCCATATTTGATAAGGTTGCAACAGCACTAATACTTTTTTCTTCTAGTCATGCATATCATTTCATTTTTCCATATCTATGTAGCACATATCCTCATTCAAGAATGCTACAAGTTCCTAGATCGGAAAAAAGAAGAAACAAGTAGTATGTATTAACTGCTTAGCTTAATGATTTAGGTTGATGTGAATGGTGATAATGCTGCTCCACTGTATAAGTTCTTGAAATCAAGCAAAGGTGGGTTCTTTGGGGATAGTATCAAGTGGAACTTCTCCAAATTCCTTGTTGACAAAGAAGGAAACGTCGTCGATCGCTACTCTCCAACCACTGCTCCAGCTAGCATGGAGGTAAGAATCCACCAGTCTCCTATCCTATAGTTATCTTTCCTTGTTAAGAGTGTAGCTGATGAATTTTTCTGCCTTTATTTTTGCAGAAGGATATCAAGAAACTTTTGGGGGTTGCTTAAGCTCCGGATTTATCTGCATCTGCATTCCTCTACTGGAAATAATGAGAGACTACTATAGTGAATAAGTTCTATGTTGATGTAATTTGCTTCTTGTTTTGCCACTACTTTGTTCAGCTGCTTGTACAATTTCAATATTCAATATATTTCCAGTGGCAAGTATTATAGTCTTTACTATAGACATTCCAAATTTAACTAACCTTTATCCATCCAGTGTTGTGAGGAAGTAAGAATATTTGGCCTCTGGGTATTATTAGATCAAAGAAACCAGTAAGAACAGATAGTTACTAATGTAAAATTTAGTTCAAACAGCTGCATACAAATCCATAATCTTTTAACAGAGAAGCAACAGAAGAAACAAGTACTATTATTCGAGTTTAACTTCTTTACACTGACCGACATAACATTTACATATTAAGTCATAAAAGATAACGAGGGGTTAACCGTCCTTATTATTGTGATAGCAGATTAAGGCAACTATATGAGCCTTGCTATCAGTTTATTTCAGATACTTATTGAAATGAAAACCATACCAAGAAAACCATTGAAATCAAATTAATTAATCAGACCAGAAGATTTCAAGCCAACCCCAATCTTTCTTAGGCACACCTAAAGCTTTCCACACAGCTTCAGAAGCATCAACGATGTTATTTCTACACCCTTTACCTGTGTCACATTCATCCACAACCATAGCTTTTGTACTCTTTCCATTTGCATAAATTGTAATTTTTTCAAAACATCTTTTCCCTTTACTGTACCATCCAGTTGATAAAGCCACAATTGGAATAGAATTATCGTAATATTTTCCACTGCATTCTGATGGACCCCCTCCTCCGCCACGTTTTCGAAAGTCATTGATCGTTAAAATAGCCTTTTTGTGACCAGAAATTGCTGGTGAAAATTTCCCTTCTTTTACATCTGGTGCCCTGTGCCTTTGAGCTTCAACAATTAATGTGTTACTACAAGCCATGAAAATAAGGATCAAGAAAGCAATAAAATGAAGTAGGGTAAAGTAAGTTCCCGTGTTCATTGTTGCACTTAGTTTCATCCTAAATGTTTGAAAATATTGTTTAACTTAAGTGTTTTTTCTTTGTGGTTAAGAGCTGATATAGTAGCTTTGCTATTTATAGAACAATTTGCCGGCCCAAGTCCTAGCAACATGATTTTTATTATAGTGGTGGTCATGTAATGGAACACAATAATACTAAGAAAGTAACGGTACAAGAAAAATAACAATGTTTGCAACTAGGAAATTTTGGCTTGATAGGTACAAATAAAATATGTTGCGACTGTATTGTTTGTGTTTGTAGATGTAACATCTTTGAAATTTTAGATGGTTAATTTTTACATGTAATAATTTCTTTTTGCTCTAAAAAATGAAATTAGATTTTTACTCCTATGTCTTTGATGGCTAGTTACATTTAATGTTTTATTTATGTCTCATGCGAGCAAACACGAATACATCTTGCGGCAATAGGTGTCATATAATACCTCTTCGTCGAATATGTATATATAGATAAGTATACAAAATAAAATATTAGATATAAATATAAAAAATGACATCGCTTGTTATTTTAGTGATTTATTCATTCGTTTATTTCTTCAAATATTGACATCGTTTACAAAAAATTATGTGTACTCTACCGCACGCGATACTGTTTTAAAGGTTCTTTGACTAGAAAGAAAAGATTATTTTAATCAATCCTCCTTTTCAACTTTCAAGAGGCAAACCATACCTTTTTGGAAAACTGTAGAATTTTCTAAACGATATATTTTCAGAAAATGAGAAAATATATAGATTCGAACAACATGCATTAGCAATTGACTTAGAGAAAATTTACCCGTATCGGTGTTTACATTGTTAACTCAATTATCATGATTAAGTGTATGTGCAAACATATCTCATGCATTTATTGATATATGAATATTCTATACGAATATTTATTTGGTATAAATACTCGATGCATCTAAGTTTTTACGTGATTCCTTCTAACCGATTCACTGCTTATTCAACTAAACTTTTTGTTTTGAAAAATCTTTCTAACTGACATATAGTCTCACTAATCACGTCTTTTTTTTTTTTTTTTTTTTGAAATAAGTGTTCTAAATCAAAAAAATTGTTCTTTTATTTGAGTTTCTAAAATAAAGCTACAGATTTTGGGTGAGAAATTAAATATAAAAAGTTAAAAGCTTCGATGGGTCAGATTAGCAACGAAACTAAAAGAAACTGCAAAACAAATTGGGTCACATATTTGAAGGAGTCCACTTAAGTAATTGGTAACCACTATGTTGAGTTGTTGACTATATGAGCATAGAGTCATCTTCTAAGTCAAAATAACATGTCCAAGTGAATAGAAACAAGTGATATTGTATTTTTTTTGTGTCTCAGACCAACAATATTGAGTTTTCATCCGTCTGCTTATGGAATTACTCTAGTTATTACTGTTCTCTTGCAAACACAACAACTTTTATCGGAATCTCATTTCCTCCAATACGGAAATAAAAGGGGCGGTTGAAATTACGTGAGAGAAAGAACCTCTTGGTGGAGTGCGGTAATATGGTCTAACGAAAGAAATGAAAGTGATTGACACAAGAGCTGCTATAAGTGTTTGTGTCAGGGAAGCGATTCTGGGATGAATTTGCATTTTTACATTTGGAAAATCATGAAAAAGAAAAATCGGATCGATAATGGACTCAAATTAAGAAACCAAGTATAAACGGATAATTACTAATTTCTAAATTTAGTTCAAACAACTGCATACACATCCATAAGAGTAGCAAGAAAAAAGTGTTATTATTAGATATACTGATAATGTAAAAACTCTTTACACTATCTGTGTACATGAGCCAAATCCTTTTTATTGCGATAGCGTAACAAGATAAGGCAAAGTAAGCCTTGCCATCAGTTTATTTGAAATGAAAGCAAAGGAGGAAGACTTTATTTTTGCAAATATAGCCATACAAAAGATTAAATTCATTAATCTGACCAGAAGATTTCAAGCCAACCCCAATCTTTCTTAGGAACACTCAAAGCTTTCCACACTGCTTCAGAAGCATCAACAATGTTATTTCTACACTCTCTACTTGTATCACATTCATCAACAACATGATTTTTAATTATAGTGGTGGTAATGTAAATCCAAACCATGGAACATAATGGTCCAAAATACCAAGAAATTAATGTGAGAAATTCAAAAATAGCCAGATTTACAAGTGATCATTTAAAAATGGTCACAGTTTCAAAAGTTATTAAAATTTAGCCACTTTTCATGTAAAGATAAATCTAAACGAAAACACTGTTCAAAATTCGGAATATACTCCAGCATAATATACTGGAGCCAACAAAGTATACCGGTCCAGCATAATATGCTGGAAGTTCATACACCGGTGCACCGAACTCCAGTATATTATGTTGGACCGGTCTCTGTTGCAGCAAAATAGTGGCTATTTTTCAATGACTTGGAAAACGCTGACTATTTTTGAATGACCAGTCCGAAAACTGGCTAGCCGGTGCTATTTTAGCGAAATTAACGCACAAGAAAATTGACAGTGCCGAACTTCTACGACTAGAAAATAGTTCTGTCTTTATTAGAAAACTAATCCTACAAATAAAATATGTTGCAACTGTAATGTTTGTTTTGTAGATGTGACATCTTTGGAATTTTAGGTTGTCAATTTTGACATCTACTAGTAATTTTTTTAAAATGAAAATAGATTGTTACTCCTCCGTTTTCTGAAAGCTAATTAATTAGATATATCCAATGTCTCCTATAAGGCTGTCTTAAAATTTACAGCGTCTGAAATTATTTATATATGGTATCCAAAAAAGTGTATAAAATTAGTATATAACATATAT